CTTAAGCGTGCCACACAAGTAGCTATACTTAATGCGAACTACATGTCCAAGCGTTTAGAAAACCACTACAAAACTCTTTACAAATCATCAACGAGCGGACTTGTGGCGCACGAGTTCATTCTCGATTTGCGTGATCTGAAGAAAACTGCCAACATTGAGGCGGTGGACATTGCTAAGCGTCTAATGGACTATGGTTTCCATGCACCCACTATGTCTTGGCCGGTGGCTGGCACTTTGATGATTGAACCTACTGAGTCAGAGGACAAGGAAGAGTTGGATCGCTTCTGCGATGCAATGATTTCGATACGGGAAGAGATTGTCGATATTGAGGAGGGACGCATGGACAAAGTGGTGAATCCACTGAAGATGGCGCCGCATACGCAAGCGCAAGTCATCTCAGACAAATGGGACAGGCCATATACCCGCGAGCTGGCTGCTTTCCCAGCGGTAAGGAGCATAATTTATGTTGGATTTGTAGGTTGACTTAAGTTTTATTATTTTTTGCAGTTATTTGTTAAACCAGACTCAAAGATTTGGCCCACTGTTGGCCGAATTGACGATGCCTATGGAGATAAACATTTGGTTTGCACTTGCCCGCCTATTCTGCCTGACATTTAGATACTAGTATCGCGGTCTACTTTTGATGTCTTATATTTAAGTATAAATAAGTTTTTGTATATTAATAAAGTATAATAAATTTTTAGTATTTATTAAGAGCTACAGAAATATCTCCGGGCAGGTATGAGAACTTTGACATTACCCTTGTCTCCACTTCTCTGATATCGCGACTGGAAGTTTCCTGGTACTAACGCCAAGGGTGTTTTCAGTTTTTCTGGATGTAGATCTAAAAGTATCCCTTTTTAGGAATCCCTGGAGAACAAACTGGAACACCTACGGCAGGAAACTGCAGCACCTACTGACCGTGATTCAATAATACAAGGTTATGTAATTTGTGACAGCTCAAATTTGACACTGCTTTATCTAGATTTGTATTGTGGAAGTAGGAGAAAGGCGAAAAAGTGATAGCCCTTTGCAAAAACGGTAGTAGAAAGGTACCATAAAAAAGTACGCAAAGTATTCAATTAGAGTTAAAATGTGTATTCTTAATTCTATATGAATTTTCAATTTAATTAGTTTTTTAATGGAAATACTAAACAATACGTAGAAATATGCATTTTTAATTTAAGTTATTCGTCATTTTCTGGAACAAATCTAGAATACCAACCGTTCAGCTATACAAAAACGAAAAATGCAGATCAATAGAACTTTTTAAGGCTCATTTCAACCAATCCAAAATTATTTGGCGCAAGAAAAACATAAAGACGTTTCAGCTATGCGAGAACGAAAAATACAGATCAATAGAACTTTTTGAGGCTCATTTCAACCAAACCAAAATTATTTGGGGCAAGAAATAACCGATTAGACGTCACCTGAACATAATTAATTTATCTTTCGGCCAGTGTTGCCAGGTCATTGAAGTTAGAAATCGTCAGCATGGCTCAAAAATCTTCATCTGCACGGGAAATTCGTAAAATTATAAAAAATTTCAATAAACATAACCAGGAAGCCCTTCTGTTTTTTTTTTCATTTTATTCTAGCTTCTGATTGCTATATGTAAAAAATAAAAATTTTAACTTTTTTACGAATTTTTAAAATTTGCAATACTTTGAACAAAAATATTTTTAATTACAATAAAATTACATTTTCATCTTATTTTTTTTTTTCAAACTGCAACTTAACGATGTGCATTAAAAACTGTTCATACTAACAAGTTTTGCTAAAGAATTTATTCATAATTCTCTTCACTCAATAAAATATGTACCAGTTAGGGATATTAATTTTTCAGCTTTTTCCGATCCCGGGAATAGACATTCATTACTTTTCAAAAAATTAAATCGAAAAAATTGCTTCTATATTGTTTGAGAAGCTCGCCTAACATAAAATAAGTAATAAATAAATGGGTGTGAAACCTTCTTTTTTATTTATGTAGCGCTTCTATTTTTTCTCTCTGTCGTCAGGATTTTTTTTACTGGACATTGTAATTTCAACGATACGATTAATTCCAAAAATTATTTAAAAAGTTCAATGAAATGTAGAATAAAAATATGGGTACCAAATGCAAGAGGCAATTTCTTTAGAATTTTTTGGATTCACAAGGACGAATAGTTAATTTTTAAGCAGATTAAGTTATATAGAGTTTATATAAGTCCTTGACATATAATTTTTTCAAAAACAAAGTTGCGAAATGTCAAGGATAACATTTTAAAAGTACATTTTCGATACTTACCAGTCCTTCTGTGTCAAAAACTTGAATCTGTTTAAATTCTACAGGATTTCCTGCTTAATTTGATACCCATACTTTATCTTTAAGCACATTTCTCTGAATTTTTCAAGTCATTTTTGAATTACTGACGTCAAAGTCAAAAACTAAAAACGCAATTTTACTGGGGCACCGAAATTGCGCATATGGAAACTGTGCATTTAGACA